GGCAGCAAGTAATGCGTATTACAAGATATGTATACTCTTTTTCTTCACTAAGATTTTTTCTTAGCAAGGTTTTAACGAGACACATTATCTATAGACATCCATGTGGGAGTGTTATAAAATATTATAATTATATTAGTGGATGTCTATAACCTTAAAGAAGTTACTCCTACTAATCTTCTCCATTATGTAGATAATTCCTACTACTTCTCACCATTATAGTTGTAACTCCCACACCTCCATAACCTCCCCATGATCTTCCTCCATGATCTCAAATGTTTAATGTCATGTTTATGTATTCTTTTTTACTATGTAATCCTATAAATAGAGGATTTTGGCACCATATTGTACATACTTGACACACTTGAATACATTGAAGAAATAAGAATCTCTCCTTACTTTCTCTCTACACTTTTGTCGATTTGCTTGTTTTATATTATTACTTTGAGCTAAGTTTCTTAACACGTTATCAGCACGAATTGTTATATTCTTCTTATATTTTCTATAAGAAATGAAAGTCTTCCATGGGAGCTATAACCTTGAATCAATTTGGTTGAGCTTGTAAAAATCTGGAATTTCGTTACCATATCAATGTTGTGTTTGCTTCTATTATATAGGGAGTATCATTTTTCAGTCATAAATTCTGCAATTAACTTACGTTAATATTTAAAACTTGGTTTAATTTGTGTTACTTAACAATTTAGTTTCATTTGTGCAGATGTATACATATGGAGTACCTGCTTTAGAGTGACAAACAAGAGTATATTACGTTGCCTTTGACACCATCTCCCATATGTACTGCTCCGATAGTTTGCAAGCCAAGATTATGGAACTGTTAACTATTGATGAGGTTTCTAATTAATCTTAAAAAAATAATAAGAATTTAAATTTATGTTGTGGTCAAAATAAATTTTGTATAACTAAGATAGTTTTATTCCCTTTATATTTGATCATGTGGTTGTTCCTGAAAAAGATCAATGTGAACTTTCATTAAAGTTCGGACAAAAATAACTGATTATTATAAAATAGTATATAATGAAAGGCTCAAGGGTGAGTCCACTTAGACTTATTATGCCATTGTATAAGGGTAAGACATCGGGTTTGAATCCTGGTGCTCTATGATGATAAGAGTTCGATTTGAGTCCCAACTCATTATGGCCTAACATGCCTTTATATGGGTAAGGCATTGGTTTGAATCCCAATGCACCATATTGATGATATAATGATGACTAAAGAAAAATAATATATTTTCATGAAAAAGCATGAAGTTTGTCCCACTTGATTTGCTCCATTCTTGAAGTGAATGTGATAATGGTGCATAATAAGTCTAAATAATGACAAGTGGTTGACCAATGAACATGGGCGTGCCAAAGATCAGATAATAACAGTCATCATTATGGTAATTGTAAAAAGAAGAACAATAAGGGTTCTCAAAATGATCATTCGAAGGTGAAGGAATATGTATCAATGTGGTATGTTAATACGAGACACGTTCATATGATTATAGTCCATTCGTTGAAAATGTGACTTGTGATAAGCATTATAAATGCAGGCTCATTCCTGAAAGTAAATGCTGAAATATATATGTGATAAAAGTTATGCATAAGAATGTGCTTATGCATGGTTGGATAAATACCTCAACTCACCTCTAAGGGAGGTTTGAGAGAAATAAAGATAATAAATATCATAATGTGGTTACATTAATATGTCATTGGTCGCGTACATGTGGTACGCCAAAAATATTTTGCCATGCCTTACAAAAAGTTATTAAAGGCAAAAGTAAAGCAAGAAATAATTTTGCTTGTGATGATTTTAACCATGACAATTATCATGGTATGATTTTTTCCGTAAAAGAGACATTCACCATATGGATGATGTAATAAATTATTTTGTAGTACAAAATCAATTAAGAGCTCTGGAGAGCTAATTCATTACTACCCGGATGAATGAAATTATTCATGATATTGATATTATAATAATTCTCAAAAGAAACTTTTTGAGTTTCAAATATATTAGCCAAAGTGGTTGACATATTGAGACTATAAATGAAAGGAAGATTAAAAATCTTCATATTACTATAATCATACCGGGTAAATATGAAAGGTTACCCGATTTTTCTTCTATTTGTATTATACATATTTAAGCATGATGATAGAATCACACGTCATAAGTAAACTAGAGGTTTACTGAAATAAATATTTGTTGGCATGACCAGTTGACCATCCCGGTTCAATTATGATGCGAAAATTGGTTGAAAATTCACATTGGCATATATTGAACAAATAGAAGATTCTTCAAGAATTTTCTTGTGCTTCTTAATCTCATGAAGTACCACTTAAGGTTGGGATTAAATCCCTTGGTATCTGGAACGAATAAAAGGTGATATATATGTATGGGCCCAATTACCTGCCATGTGGACCGTTTACTATTACATGATTTTAATAGATGCATCTATTCTATGGTCACCTGTGCGTTTGTTATCAACTTGTAGTTTGGCTGTTGCAATGTTGCTTGCTCAAATTATTAGAGCACAGTTTCAGCATAAAAATTATGATAATTTATCTTGTTAATGGTGGTTTTAAATCCAAGTTGGTTTAGCAGAAACTGTATGCCTCAATTAAGCTAAACCATTGGTTATGAGAATAAAATTCCCAAATCGAAATTTGGTACGAGGTATATTATTTAATATACAACAACACTTGTACGCATCTAGCCAACAAGTTATGTAAATTCTCCCTTTCTTAATTGGTTCAGGTTCAGGAACCAAATAAATTCCATCTAGAAATATGAATGTGCTATATGATTTAATTATCCAACCACAATGTATAAAGATGGGTTCTCAAAGAAGGTTGAGAAATGTGTTGGTGACCCCAGTATTAGGGGGAGAAAATGGGCAGCTGAAAAAGTAAAACATGGAATGAATTATTATGAGTGCACCTAGATCCTCGTACAAGAAAATGTGAACTTGAAGTTCAAGTCATAATTCATTTGCAAAATATTGCCAGGCACATTTGCTGACCCAAAATTAAATATCATATTTCAGCTACTAATGCTCCAAATAGAATAAAGTCCATGATAGACATAGTCTATGGGACGCATGAAGCGTGATAGACTAATCGGTTCCAAAGATAAAATTCCTTGAAGAAGGAGAGGAGCAAATGTTCAAGATGGTCATAATAAGGGGGCAAGTGCTTTATAAGAGCACCATGACATAACACTTCATAAGACCTCATGGGAGAGGATAGGTACCTGCAAATAATGAGATAAAGAGATCTCAATAAGTTATGTCTTTCGTCGGTAACGACGGAACCGATGTAAAATGATCGTCGACGATATTGTTGATATAATGTAGCGTTCAATATTATTAATATTGACGAGGATCTTGAGCTCAAATCTGTCATGAAATTTGAACAAATAAATGATTGGCCAAATGAAAAATACGTAATGAAAATTAACTTCACCTAAAAAATGTGAAGTTGGACGGATAGTCCCAACACCTGAAAGTGAAATGAAAAATCAAGTCGATAGACATAAAGACGACTTGCAGCACAAGATTTTTCGTAAATATTCATGCATTATTTATATGGAGATATGTTCTCCTATGGTGGATGAAATCCTTTTCAGGTTTTAATTTGGTAATACATAAAAAACTTAATATACGTATAATGAAAATCCTTGGAGGATTTAAATTGTTAAAGTTTCAGTAGATCCTTATGTGGATTAGAGTAATCATGGTGTACATGATTTATTTTTGTGTCTAGTGCAATTGGTGCACTAATATATCTTGCTAGAACCATAAGTATAACAATATTCTAACGAGATATAGTTTTACTCCTATGTGTATTGAAATACGACTAATGTTATATTGCAAAAGGAATCTATGATTATTCTAACAAATATTGTCAAGGTTTTGTTAGTTATGCGAATGCAGGCATTTTCTGAAGTTCATTTTGTATGTGAGGATACTGCCATATTATTATTTCACAAGGAAGTCAATTATTGATACTTATCCAAGTCATGTCAATATACTAGCAACTGATAAAGCAAGTGACTCAACACACAACAGATGTGTGACTTCTTCTTGAAGAAAAGATTTCAATAATAGTGAAAGCGATGATATTTGTTTATCTCAATTGAAAGAAGGATATATCGAAGGAGGCAAAATAAAGCATATTTCAACAAAGTTCTATTTCAGACATGATCGTTGTTCAACAAATTTGTTCAAGTGATAATTTGACAAACTTCTTCACAAGGCATTGCCGATCTCAATAATAGAGAAGTTATTATACAAGCTTGGAATTCGTCGTCTCCGAGACACAAAAGTGATGTTTTCATCAGGGGGAGGCAAATACGCGCTGTACTCTTTTTTCCTTAGCTAAGGTTTTATCCCACTGGGTTTTCCTGGCAAGGTTTTTAATGAGGCAGCAAGTAATGCGTATTATAAGATATGTATACTCTTTTTCTTCACTAAGATTTTTTCTTAGCAAGGTTTTAACGAGACACATTATCTATAGACATCCATGTGGGAGTGTTATAAAATATTATATTATATTAGTGGATGTCTATAATCCTAAAGAAGTTACTCCTACTAATCTTCTCCATTATGTAGATAATTCCTACTACTTCTCATCATTATAGTTGTAACTCTCACACCTCCATAACCTCCCCATGATCTTCCTCCATGATCTCAAATGTTTAATGTCATGTTTATGGCATTCTTTTGTAGACCTTTATGTAATCCTATAAATAGAGGGTTTTGGCACCACATTGTACATATTTGACACACTTGAATACATTGAAGAAATAAGAATCTCTCCTCACTTTCTCTCTACATTCTTGTCTATTTGCTTATTTTATATTATTATTTTGAGCTAAGTTTCTTAACAGCAATGGTGTACTTGGTTTTAGGGGGGGGGGAAGGGGGAGGGGGGAAGGGAGAGGAGGGCAAGGGAAGTGCCCTTGACCTTGACACAGCTGAGTGCTGATCGAGCGCGGACCTGTGGTTAACTATATAAGGAGAATATTTGAAATTTTAGTTCAAAACGCCAGATTACATTAACCAGCAAAAAGGGAAATAAGATAAATAACTCAACTTTTAAGCAGATCCAATAAATCTAGTAGACTTTTGAATGAAGAGTAAGATTAATGGCGAGAACTTTCAGTTACAGAAACACAAGAAGACAATGCAACAAACACAACATGGAGGCAGCCAGGTGGATAATACACACAAAATTGGACGAACATGGTGAAGAAGAAAGATGCCCATACCCACCTAAGGAAAAGGGGGTGGGTGGGTACCCAAATACCACTGGGAGTGGAAAGAAGGCTTGAATTGTGATACAGAATCTGTAATCTAAGCAAAATCTAAATCTTCTGTCCTCTAATGGAAGGTATTTAATTACATCCTCATCCTGGTTATTCTAAATTTATTATTACCTCAATCTGTATTCATTTTTCAACCCCACAACACCTTTAAATTCACCAGAGTTGCAAAGGTTTCTCATTTTTCTTAAGGGTTTTGAAGCAAGATTGATCAGTCTCATTCTTCAGGGTGAGTTTTTTTTTTTTTTTGGCTCTTTTTTTTTCGGTTACATATATTTGATTATATCCATGCTCAAAGATTTGTTATTACTGTTGCTGTTCTGCATTTGTTTAGATTTTAATTGAGATGTGGATTTCAATTTTTTTGTTTAATGTATGATTTTTATGAACTTAAATGAGCTTTTTTGGGTGAATTCTCCTTTTGAGATTGTTTATACCATTTCATAACTTCCAATCAATCAATTGACGATATCTCAATTGCTATATCTCAATTCTGAACCAGTTTGATAGATTATATGAATACTCTTTATCTGTTTGTTCTATTTAGGGCTTAGTTCCGCTACAAAATAAATTGATTCTTAAGGTACATTAACGGTTCTTTGAAACTGGACTTTGCTAAATAATCAAGCTTATCTCTAAATGAAGAAACAAATCTTAAGCAAAATAAGAAGAATCTTGGTAAATTCTGACCTAATGTAAGTGAAACCACAACAACCATTAAGTTTTAATTCTACATTTGCTTCTATTATTCTTTTCTTTGCTAAATCAACATTGATTGCAAGAAGTTGCAAATCTTATGCGACATCTTTCACCATGTAGTTTTAGGTTTAGTTCTTCCTTCTTTCCCCGTTCAATCATTATAGTGTTGCATCTGCGAGTCAGTGCATATAGAGGTCTATATATAACAATGCCAAACCATTTAATTACTGTATCGAACAAAGACAAGATATACTTGGAAACCAAGACTGAGTAGGTTTGAAGACTAAAAATCCTTCACAATCCAATTGAACATATGTCCCCATCCGATATTATGATATCGATGCACTATTTAATTTGCTTGTCCCTTGTAATTAGCAAGGTTCAAATATAGTAGCATGACAAATATAGCTCAAGCAAAATGTTTAGCTTGTATGCTGGACTTTAAGCATGCACGACGTAAAATAACTTACTCATCCTTTCTCTTGTGAAAACCATCTAATAAAGTTTAGGTTTTTCCTAAATCTTACAGAATAGGAGACTTGATTTTTCACTCACCTGTTTTCTTGGATGCTATCTTCTAGAGGTTTTGAGGTTTCGTGAAGTAAGCTTTTGTGATATGTCACATTTCTGGAGGCTCGTAGTGGTGTCAATCCTTATTAATTATAGTGATAATGTCACTTTCTGTTGCGCTGCCTCTACCTACTCATGGTTATCAAATTAGGTTTCCAAAAGTGAATCTAAATCTGATACGTTTTGCAAAGGAAGTGCATTTCCATTTAAAAGATTCCTCTTTCGTAATTCACGGTGTCTTTGTTTCTTCCTTCTATACTTTTTTTTTTGGGTAGAATTCTGGGCATCTATTTGCTTCTCAATTCTATAGTTAATGCTGTTTTCAGGTTTTCAAGATATTTGTCATTCTGGTCTTACATGTAGGATGAAATTCATTGTTTCCTAACTCACATGAAACTTCTCTTAAGCATATACCATAATTCATGGGCTCCCAAAGAGGTGTAGCTTTAGGTTGCTCGGTTCAATTAAATGTTCTAACCGGTATTAACCTCTCAAAATTTATTAGTGTAGATGAAAGCTATGCTTCAAATACTGTTTTCTGGCTTAAAAATTGTGGCTTATAGCTCCCAGTCATTTGTTTGAATTTCATAAGCTGAGGTCTGTCAGTAACCTACATCGAGAGGTTTCCTTTTGTACTTTCCACTGATCTCCCATGGAATGGGAACATCTTTTGTAGAGTTGGATAGATTATGGTGAGAGTTATATCCTATATTTTTTTATAAAATAATGTGGTTTTATGACTTGTTGTTGGTTTTGCATACTTTTTTTTAAGTCTTTCCTTCAAGTGGGTATGGAGGGAAGGAAAAGATTAATTGGTTCATTACTTGGAGTGAATTCTTCATTTACTGGTGTGTTACATGTAAAGTACATATACAACTACTGGACCTATACATAGATTGATGACATTGTATGTGATTTCAGGCCAATGGGAGACTTTGAAAGTTATATATATTCTGTATTACACTGATCTCTTTTATTAAAATACAATTGCATGCTTGTTTTTCGGTAATTGGTACTTTATTTTTTAAGTCTTTCCTTCAAGTTGGTATGAGAGGAAGGAGAAAGGGTAATTGATTACTTGTAACGGATTCTTCATTATACTGATATTTTGCATGTAAACTACTTATATAGCTAATTATCAATATATGGATTGACATCAGTATATCATTGTGATTTCAGGCCTAGGAGCACTGTCAGAATTTTCTGGACTTAATTAAATAACGGAGCTTTTTAGAAGGAAAGGAAATCAACTCTAATGCAGCGTGGTTCTGGTAACTCTTATTTACCCACTAGAAACTACGTCAACGGTGCAAGCCTCGGTCGATCCAATTTAACTCCCATTAATATGACACCTTCCCATGGTGCACATGCTCCATATGTGCCGGGTTCAGAACAATGGGCTTCTCGGTCTATCAATCTGTCTCTGCCGGCAGTAGCTAATCTGAACCTTGAAAATGGTGCAGATGGGTCATCAGCAGCTTTGGCAAGCTCTCACTCTCGCTCAGGAAGTAACTATTCTAACTGGAGTCCAACAATAATTTCGGCAAATGGAACAATCACATACCACCCTGAAAGAAATTATTTTTCTTGCTGGATTCCAGCAGCAATGCTACAGATCATGCATGCTCCTAATTTCTTTGTACCACTGCCACATATGCCATGGAACTGGACGTATAGCTCTTTCTCTGTCCAGGTTCCGTTTGTGTATCATATGACTGGAACAATTCGAAGTGAGGTGATTTCCCGTCAAGATAGCCTGCCGCTTGTTCCTGCTTCTCACTTTCAACAAATTAGTCTTGCTCCAGGAGCTGAGAGAGTAATTACAGGAGAGAACATGGTGAACTCTAGTTTTGCAGTTCAACAAGTAAATTTCCGAGTAAATCACAGCCCAAGGTTCATGGGTGATTACTTTTTGCATCATGATTTGCTGAGACAAGTGAACCATGGACCTGGTCCTACACCACTGCATCCGTACAATTTTCACATTGTTAGTTTTCTTCGCCTTCTCTTTATTTAGCTTCTTTTTTCTAATTACAAATTTATACCAATCTTCACCTAAGTTTACTCATATATATACTTGATTTAGCAACTAGCTTAGGCTTATCACACAAAAAAATTGCTCTTAATGAATGGATGATACTTATGCTTTTAGCATACGGATATGCTTATGCTTTTAACTATTGAACGCGCTTATGATTGGATGTGCTTAGTTGTTAAATCTCCATGGTAATAAATGCTATTCTGCATTTATCCCGAGGAATTATGGTGCCGAACTAAAAAATCTATTTCAGGTCGTGAGCATGTTCTCCTGGTTCATTCTTTCAAAATCTCTAATTAACTTTTATTTTTTAAGCCCAACCGATCAATATTGTAGACATGCATATGGGTTGACATATGCATTTATTTGCCGCTAGCAATGTTCCAAACATTAGAGCTATTACCTGTGCATTTTTTTCCGTCCTTTGTTCTTTTGGGTGGAAAGTTGGATAGAAAATTCATAACTGATAAGATTGACCAGTTTCAATATTATTCGTGGTGACATTATATGTATGCATTCGTAAGGCTATACTTCCAAATCAAGTAATCACTTGAAAAACTACTGTAAACTATTAATTATGGGAAGAAAAAGTAACATAACCTTTATTTTCTTCATGAGTTTAACAAAATTGAGGAACAAAAAAGCAAGTCATATTACTTGATAGTCTAATGAGATTTGCGTCTTCTTTGAAAGCCCTGGGGCAAGTTTGCTTTTCTGTGACAATCCTTGAAACTGGCTTTTCAAACAGTAAAGAGAACATTAGAGCTGAGTTAATAGAAAAAGGCATAATTTTTTGAAATCCTTTGGTTTAAATATTATTATCATGTGATGATCAAATGAGTCCTGTTTGCAAGCATTTAACAGGATTACATCGCGATGTATAATCCTTCTGCTCCCTTTTCAACTCTAACCCAAATCAGTGACTAGGTTGTTTAGTGTTCCGATTAGATGTAAGACCCAACCATGTCCCCTTTGATTTTTCTCACACGAAGTTCATGCCTCGATATCCTGTCTACACTTGAAACTCCTCAAAACCTGATTATGAATTCTTGAATTTAGGATCATGTGACTGTAGTATTTCGTACAATATAGAAGCTTTTCGAGTTGTTGGTATCCTAATTTACTAGTTTGGATTTTACGAAGTTATTTTTGCATCTAAAGTTGCTAATCCCAGTGGCCACCACGAACAAGCTTGTCATTATGTGTATGAAATGCAGGAACTTATCACCTCACATGAGATTTATAAGTGATAATGATTTCTCTATTATGTGAAATACTCTTGGCTAGTTAATATTCTTTGATAAGCAAACTATGCATGTTCCGACTGAATCACAATTAATAGTTGATCCATAGCATTTGCTTGGATGTTGTAACAAGTTGCATGTGACATTTCAGGCACAACATGGTGGAGGACAGATTGGTACACGTCAAACTTTTTATGTTGGCATAGAGAACATGAGTTATGAGGTAATAATAGACAAACAAGAAAAAAAAATATAAAAATCTATTATTGTTTATGGAATATTTTCCCTCACAAGTTCTGGTCTGGGATTTAGGTTTTGTTAGCCTTTCAAGACCAGGTTGGATATGTCAGTACAGGATTGAGCAAGGAAGTTATTTTAGCACGTATGAAGTGCATCAAGTATCAGTCAATCGATATATCTGTGAATGACAGCGATAGGTGTTGTATTTGTTTGGTAAGGGCTTATTTCATTTGGTTGTCTCCTACGCAAGTAAGTTAGATAGTCTTACTTATAAATACCTTTTTGATTTCGGTAGGACAACTTTTGTGATGGGCAGACCATTGGATTTGCTGACTGTGGGCACTACTTCCATTTTGATTGCATCACCGAGTGGCTCATGCAGAAGAATTCTTGCCCTCTCTGCAAAAGGACTGCATTAACAACTTGAGGAAGAACAATTTGCTCTAGCAAGCTTCTCCATAACTTGAATTTTATTACTTTCAACCTGTATATACATTTATTTCAATTTAAGCAATTTGTTGTACTTTTGATGACAATTAATAAGACTTTTCAAACTGATAGCAGTTTTATAAAACCGATAATTTGCAATGCAAGTGCTTGTGTTCTGCACTCTGAGTGGGAGGAAAAACTGTTGTTTATATTGAATTGCTTGAAAGATGGCGATCCATATAGCAGGTGTTCAATAGAAGTATAGAATATAGAATTAAGTACGTACAGAGGGCACTTGGACTTGCGAAACTTGGGTCATATAAGATTTTTGGTTCTATGTTTCGCAATTTGCCAGTGAACTTATGAAATGTATTTTGCTAAAATAAAAGGAGAATTTAATCTACGTATATATTTACCAATGTTCCCATGATAGTTTATTTTGCCTTTATTAAATTGTCTAAGTTTTCATTTCCATTAGTTTAGTTAAAAAAAAATTGGATAACTGTAGTGTTTAGGTAGCTTACGCGTATCTCGACTAATTTCACTGAGAACCTGCAAGACTGCAACCTCCCAACATTATTTTGCCTTTATTAAATTGTCTACATTGACGTAGAGAACATGAATTATGAGGTATAATACCCCTAATGTGCAATGCATGTACATGTGTTGTGCACTCTGAGTGGGAGTAAAAAACTTATGTTTGTGTTGAATGTATTGAAAGATGGCGATCTATATAGCAGGCTGTTCAATATAAGTATAAAACGTAGAATAAAGCACGTACAGAGAGCACTTGTAACTTACAAAACTTGGGTCATATCAGATTTTTGGTTATAAGTCTCGCAATTTGCCGGTGAACTTATAAAATGCATTTTGCCAAGTAAAAGGAGCATCTAGGCTACGTATATACTTACCAATATTCCCTGATAGTTTATTTGGCCCTTATTAAATTTAAGTTTTTCATTTCCTTTAGTTTAGTTTAAAAAAAATAGATAACTATGGTGTTTGGGCCAACTTGCCCGTATCTCGACTAATTCCATTGAGAACCTGCTATCTTCCAACATTATATACTTTTTGTCATGCCCAACTCCAGCCCTAAAAAGGATAAGCGGTCTTTGCAAATATAATCGGGTCTAAGAGTCCAGAGTCGAATCCCATGGAGAACTAAGCTTTTGCTATAACTGTTCGATATTACTAAGAAAGCAAGCTCGAACAACTTCTACGTTAAAAAGATTGATAGTCTTGTTTTAAACTAACAATGATTATTTAAAAGCAGTAAAAATTTATCAATTAAAGAGAGTAAATATTGGTGTCACGACTCCAATTTCCTTCCGTTGGATGTCGTGACGACACCTAATCTCTAAGACTAGCTAAGCCTAACAACATGCGGAAATACTAAATAAAATCTTATCATTTCAAAACTCCAACAATTTCATAAATAAAATCTATAAACACAATGCGTACAACTCTCCATAACCTGGTGAAATATAAGTCACAAACTCTAGATACAGTGCTGAACAATCCTATACATCATTGTCTGTAAAAATAAAAAGAAATAAGGAAGAACAGGATATAAGAGGACTCCGAGGCCTGCGGACGCGGGCAGGTGTACCTTGAAGTCTCCAAAAGCAAGCTCGGCGTGCTAGTTCCGGGACTGATAAGATGTACCTGGATCTGCACAAAACATGTGAAGAAGCGTAGTATAAGTTCCAAGCCTAACCTCGGTAGAGTAATGACGAGGTCAGGTGAAGGCCCTACTGGAGATAATAAGAAACAAGACAGAAGCTATAATGTTATAATGATAATGACAAGGAAGTTAAACAATAAAGAGTTTACAGAAAGTTAACAACATGGAATCAAGGCAACTAATACAACACGAAAGGAAAACAAGGAGTTTACATGTTAAGGAAACAACAACCAAACAAATACAGCAAATAGAGAAAGATCAACAGGGGGGCCTACCGAGGTACCGCCTCATAGTCCCAAATCATAAAAGTAACACACACACTTTTCTTATATCACCGCAGGAGCCATTCATTCAGTTTGAAAATTATTTTTCCCGAAATAGCACCCTGTATTTTAGCCTACCTTATCACACCACATGGCTTCTAGTAGTTCCCCTACTAGCCATGCGTATCAAGCCCACCTTATCTTACCGCATGCGTTTCAACACCCAGACGTTATACCACCGCATACGTATCAATAGTAACAACGGCGCGGCAGAAACCTCGTGGAAATAGTAACAACAGCACAATAGAAACCTCGTGCAACAACAAAACAATCCTCTCTACAATAACACGAATACCAAAATATAACAACTCAATAAAATGATATTTCACAACTTATATTTTTTCTTAATAGAAACCAAGGCCTTTGCAACTCAACACTAAACTCAGCAGCAAGATATTTCAAGGATAGCAAATTTCAAGTAAAGAATCCCACAGTTAAATAATGAGCACAGAATTAAACAAAAGCAAGTAATTCAACTAAACATGTAGGACATGTTGCAAATAAGAGATAAGACAAGTAGATATGTGAAATTAGACTAAGTACGATGGCTACAACATGTTAAAGTAACTCAATTAAAGCATGAAAGAAAACTACATAGCTAAAAACCAAGAATTTCACCTTTAGCCCGTGTATGCACTCGTCAACTTGCGTACACGACTTTCACATATTACAATTATCATAAAAATACCAAATCCTAAGGGAAATTTCCCCCACACAAGGTTAGACAAGTCACTTACCTCAAACCACGCTAAATCAACCAACTAGAAGGCCTTTCCCTCGATTTTCCAACTCCGAACGGCCCGAATCTAGCCAAAATAATTTCACACTATAAATATAACTATAGGAAACTAATTTAAATAATGAAATTATGATCTTAGCAATGAATAAAAAAATTTTCCAAAAAGTCGACCCGGGCCCACGTCTCGAAACCTGACCAAAATTACAAAAATCGAATACACATTCGATATCGAGTCCAACCATACAAGAATTATTCAAATCTGACCTCATTTCGCCTTACAAAACTAAAAACTTTAGCATAAGAAGTTTTATCACTTTTTCCCAATTTTTCCAACCTAAATCCTTAATTACATGATAAAATCAATGATATACTAGTGGAATTTAATCAAAATCGAGTTAAGAACTCTTACCCCAACAATCCCTCTGAAAATCCCTCGAAATTTTGCCTCAAGCCGAGCTCTCTAAGTCCAAAATATGAAATATGAAATATGAAATAAACCCTCGATTTTGAACTTAAGTTTGGTTCCCAGCGATTCCTTCTTCGCGAACGCGAAAATTGCCTTGCGTTCGCGAAGCACAAAATCTTACTGCCCAATTTTCCTCTTACGCGAACGCAAGGACCCACTCGCGAACACGTAGACCAAACGCGTGAGGTCCACCCCAGCCCGCCTCTCTTCTTCGCGAACGCGTGGCCTTCTTCACGAACGTGAAGAACAAATCTCACCGGCCTCCCAGGTACCATTCACGAATGCGAGACCTCTCTTGCGAACGCGATGAAGAAACCAGACATCAGAAAATTCAGCAGCTTCAGCAATTCTTCAAGGTTCCGAAATGCGCCGAACATGGTCCGAAGGACACCCAAGGCCCCCGGTACCTCAACCAAACATACTAACAAGTCTTATAATATCATACGAGCACACTCGAAGCGTCAAATCACACCAAACAACACTAGAACCACGAATTGCGCATCGATTCAAGCCTAACGAACTTAGGAACTTCCGAATTCGAAAACTAATCCGATTCATACTAAAACAACTCCGATTGACTCCAAATTTTGCATACAAGTCATAAATGACATGACGGACCTATTCCAACTTCCAGAATCAGGATCTGACCCCGATATCAATAAAGTCAACTCCCGATCAAACTTTCCCAAATCTTCCATTTTCCAACTTTCACCAATTCACGCGGAAACGACCTACGGACCTCCAAATCATGATCCGGACACACTCCTAAGACCAAAATCACCCTACGAAGCTACTTGATCCGTCAAAACTCCATTTCGGAATCATATTCACATAAGTCAAACTACGGTCAACTCCTAGGAGTTAAACTTCCAACTTAGGGGCTATGTATCCCATATTACTCTGAAACTCTCCCGAACCTGACACCAAGCACCCCGGCAAGTCACGTAACCATAATATAACAAAGAGGAAGCACAATTTAGGGGACCGGGGCTAAAATACTCAAAATTACCGACCGGGTCATTACATCCTCCCCCTCTTAAAACAAACGTTCGTCCTCGAACGAGTATAGAGACATACTTGAAGTTGTGAAAAGATGAGGATAACGACTACGTATATCATGCTCGGTCTCCTAAGTCACCTCCTCGACTGGCTGACCCCTCCACCGAACCTTCACTGAAGCAATGTTCTTCAACCTCAACTTTCGAACCTGCCGGTCCAAAATGGCCACCGACTCCTCAATATAAGACAAATCCTTGTCCAACTGGACTGAGCTGAAGTCTAACACATGAGACGGATCTCCATGATACTTCCAGAGCATAGGAACATGGAACAGTGGATGAACTACAACTAGACTAGGTGGTAGTGCAAGTCTGTAAGCCACCTCTCCAACCCTCTAAAGAATCTCAAAAGGTCCGATATACCTAGGGCTCAGCTTATCCTTCTTTCCTAACTCATGCTAAACGACCCTCCAGAACCGCGATGTAAACTGCGTACCCCGGTCAGAGATGATAGATAACGGCAGGCCATGAAGCCTGACAATCTCACGAATATAAACCTGAGCCAGCTACTCTGAAGAATAAGTAGTCACCACTGGAATAAAATGAGCTGACTTGGTCAACCTATCCACAATCACCCAAACTGCATCGAGCTTCCTCTGAGTCAGTGGGAACCCAACAATAAAATCCATAATAATCCGCTCCCGTTTCCACTCTGGGATCTCTAACCTCTAAAGCAATCCACCAGGCCACTGATGCTTATACTTCACTTGTTGACAGTTTAGGCATCGGGCTACTTATTCCACTATGTCGTTCTTCATCCGCCTCCACCAATAGTGCTGCCTCAAGTCCTGATACATCTTGGCGGCATCCGGATAAATGTAGTACCGCGAACCGTGAGCCTCCTGAAGAATAAACTCACACAAGCCATCTACATT